TAGATACTGTAACTAGTAATCGAAAGTCTTGTTTGAGTTGGTTTCGTAAAATACATAGTTGCAAATATTTGTTGAAACATTACACCACGGATACAGATACTGGGGTTTGACTTCAACATTTTTTGGCTTAAGTTTCTTATTGTCTAATGAGGTTGAATTTGGTTTAGTTAAGCTTATGTCTATAGTGCCACCCGATGTGAGAGAATTTACTGATTATATAATTGACAATTATATATCTGAAGATTCCCAATTTCCACCTATTATTTGGGCTGAAGAACCAAAAACATACTCAAAAACAACTAATGGACCGGAATATTTCCATTCAAATTATAACCAACAATTTTATAGGCAAAATCCAAATCATAAAAATGTTATAAACGTATTGATTGGAATTCAAACGGAAACCAATTTAAAAAAAAACAGCATTGAAAAAAAAAACTATTAAATTTAAAAAAGAAACTAAAGAAAAATAAACATTTGTACAAAAATGTTGGGAAACTTAAATTTAATTAGATTAAATTAGGACATATAAATAAAAAAAATCTCAAAATATTTTTGGAAGACTATTGAGCCAACCTCTTCGCGGTGTTTTCTGGATAACTATAATAGGTTCAGATTTAGTACAAAATGTTAATATATACAAAGAAATAAATGCGCCCAAACGTTTTATAGATTTACATCTTAAAGTGTTATGTTTTAGGTAAATGCGCCCAAACATATTTCCCCCATATTAACTATAAAGAGTGATTTCACGTTATCATTAAATTATGAAGACATTATTGATCACTTCTCCAGAATGAAAGCTAGAAAAAACCTATTTAAACTTTAAAATCATAAAAATAATTTATAAAAATATTTTTGTACTAATTAAATGTTTTTCTCATATATATTTTTACTCGATAAAAACTAATGGGTGTTAATACATTTATATCCGTATTTTATTTTTTTTTAGTCAATTTAAATGAAAAAATTTATTGTATTATAGATATTCAGAGGAAACATTTATTTAAGGATATTTTATTACGTAGATGTTTTTTTCCGAATAGGAGCAGCAGATTAAATTTCGCACAGGGGCGGAAAATTTATAAATCCGCTCGTGGCTACGCGGCGGTGTGCGAGCGAACGCGATTTCGTGTGAGCATACGACCGGCAGTCACTTACTACGCGGTCGACGATTCGAAAAACGTTTTCAGCGCGCAGAGTCGGGTCGATCTTTCGATCCGCGACACGCCACCGCACAGTGCTCCGAAAAGAAATAAAAGATGAAAGAAAATATTTTAACGTATGATATTGAGATTTATTTAAACAAAAAGTATATTTTATTAAGAAATGTAATATAATATTTCATGTTCAAGCAGTGAACTAATATATTATAACATACAATTTTAAAAAATAGTACTTTCCAATATTAGTTTTCAGTAATTTTTTTATCTTTTTTTTTCGGATCACTGTGCACTACTGCCGGACGATTTTCTGGGTGCGTGCGTGCACTACGCGGGTGGGCAATGCGTGTACGGCCAACGTGTAGTGCGCAATGCACCGGTGGGGGTTGCGATCAGGAGAACGAATTTTTTTCTTCGTCTTTGTTTCGATCGTTTTCGACAATCATATCGATAAGGTTACTATAGTGGCTCGGAACACGATTTCCTAGGTTTTTTTTATTCTCGTTTCCGAGCACGCGCAACATGTTTCGTCGACCGTTAACACATTTAACGCGTGTTTTATCGACCGTCGGCTAAGTCTACACCGCTGTAGCCGATAGAATCGTCCAACGCATTGTAGACCAATAAGCGCTATGAAGACCGAACGAAAATCTGCACCACAATTCATTACGGTTTGAAACAACCGCAATATTGAATAGCGACAATAAGGAGTTATTCGCAGTACGGTGATCGCGGTACACGCACGCGCGGTTCAATTGTAGTCCGACGCCATCGAGTGTAAATACTCGATGATCTTTACTATCTATCTTATTATATTATTATATCTGATGCCCCTCGACATAATTACAAATATCAAATAAACAATACAAATTGTTTATGATTCTATTATAAATGACACTTTAATTTTTTATTTCATAACTTAAATAGTTCAATTTTGTTGAAATATAAGATAAGTACAGTCAAGAGTCCATAAATTTCACTAAGATCTGAAAAAACCCGATCAAACCCGACTAGCTTATCGTTATTAATTTTAGTTGTACGTCTAAATTTTTTGATAACGAATATTCGTCTATTGTTATCGATTGAACGTTTATCGTGACGCATATCCGACCTGAACAACATAACGGTTAACATAAAAAAAAAGAATCCAAGAGGGGGATGGGCGAGTGCCCCCTTGGCCCTCTCCTAAAAACCGCCACCGGTACGTAAATCGGTACTGTGTACGCGGACTGCAGCAGATCTGTCCGCGATGGCGCGTGAGACTCGGTCGCCCGAGCGCGGTGTTAGGACGACTAGGGCTGCGTGATGGTGACGAGGGTCGGGGGCGGCAGGGAAATGAGTGCGGACCCGAGGCGCCGAAATTCGTTTTCTTTTTCCGAGACCCTTTCTCCGAGACGAGAAGAACACAAAAGGCGTTTCGTCTCGCCCCGGGACGCCGGTGTGCAGAAAACCTTAGCCACCGCTGAGCGGTTTCTCTCGATTTGCTATGTAATATATTATATTATATACGTTCGCTGTGCAATAACTTGTGTGTATTATGTGCATTGCATTCTGTACGTCGGTTCATAGCGTACGCCAAACTGTACGAGCGTGAAACGGATAATCAACGTAGTTTCCAGTGCTAGTCCAATGCACCGTCGGTTTCTATTTTTTATTTTATTTTTGTTTTAATTTTTTTGTTTTTTTACGTTCGAGAACATGCACGTTTCCCGCCCAGGAACACGGTTTCAAGGAACAGGTGATATGCAAAATTAACTGTGCACTGTGGTAGCGTTGTTTATTTGACCTGATGGGCCGCGAACAATTTTGAATTGACCGTGAAAAAATTTTTCAAAGATAACCTAATATTTTTGTTTCGGTTGTAGTCTCGAAAAGTTTCTAAAAATCGAATCGAACGCTTTTCGTAAATTCATTTTCTTGCCGAACAAGCGTAAATTCAGCATCTCCGTCTTATAAAGCAATAAATACATTTTATTGGTCGATATTCTTGTAAACGATGACATTTTATGAGTTTTCGGCTAAAACGTATATCCCTTGATCGGGGTATCAATTATCAATGATGTGAACTTAACCTAGTATGCCTACTACTTGGATGCTGTTATGGTAATCGGATAGATTAAAGGTGCGAGGTGCGCGTTGAACGTTATTTTGAAAGATTTTGCGTGAAAAATTTGGTAAACAACTTGGGTGACTTGCACACAAAGGTTGAGAACCACTGGCATATACATTTCTTAATTCCGACGTTCCGCGGTTGACATATACGAAATAGTAATCACGCGGCTGTTGCAAATATAGGCACTGTATGGAAACCAATGGCGGACAGGTGACTAACAGCATATCTCCTGTAGTGAAGCCCTGAGTTTACCCGTTAATGGACAACGTGGACAGAAGAATTTTAAGTTTTTTTAGGAACGTCCGCTATTTTATGCGTAGGAGGGTTACAATTTCAACGTATTCAAGCTCATAATTTTACATAAAATTTCCGTAGTGTATAGTGTTGGATATCTGAAGATTTTGATAGTCTCTGATTTACACGCGTGTAATTATTGCCAAGGGACTTGGGAGTGTGATTTTGTGTGATGTATGCTTCAATAATTACATTTTTTTGCTGTAATCAAATCATGAAGTGTTTCCCTAGTTTTTGCATGTGACTGTTTTAAATATTTTTGCCGGACAGCGTAGAAAAAGAAAAATTCTACTTTCGTCGCATAGTCGTACAATTAATTTTAATCAAGATTATCAAAATTACCTATATTTATTTCTATATTATTTTTAGATATAATAATATTGTGATATTATAATCATGATTTATTTACTAAGCACATTAGAGCTTAGGTGTTATACACTGCAAAATAATTTAGAAATAAAGAAAATAAATTCTACGGCAAATATAGTTAACTATTGTCTTGAATCATAAACTGCATACACTGCACGTAGTTAAGTTTATTTTTTATTCGTGTGGACGAGTTAATGGTCATTCGGAGTAAGCTGGATAACCGTATTGAGTTGAACTTGTACAATCGTCCACCATAAGTTACTGTTTATTTTAGTACCGTTTTATCAATCTATCGATTCGAAGGACATCCCGTTTCCGATAATACTAACGAATGATATACATTAAAGAAGTTCGTATTCGGATTACGGAACGTGTACTGGAATTGATAAATCCTGATTAAACGTGATCGTAAGAAGAAAAAAAAAATTTCAGCCCTTAAGGCCAAGCGTAACGTAAAACGTTAACCAGGACGTATAAAAACCGTAATTCTCGGTTTGAACCGTGATTAAGCGTGTGAATGTGATAACAGTGTTTATCAAAAATGAGTCCGAGTCGACCACGCGAGACAAGAGACATGATAATAATTTTAACGATAACGTATGATAAAATAATAATGTAACGGCGTTGGTTTTCAAAACCGGGCCCGCAGAGTTGGTCGACCCGTAAAGAGCCACCAACGGGAGCAGACGCGATTCGGTTTCGCCCCTGCACCGAAACCGCCCTACCTGGATGGTCGGTGGGAAGGGAACGTGCGTGGTGTACCAAGCGAATTGGCGAGCGGGACGACGACGACGGCGCACGAACCGACGCTCCACGACCGTAGCCGAGCGGCGTCGACGGCGCGACCGACCGCCGTCGCGCTCTCTTCACCGCCGCCGGGTCGGTCTTACACAACCGCGCGGCGCTCCTCCGCCGGATCCACCCCTCCGCCGGCGGAACGATCTCCGCGAACCGTCCCTGCCCTATGTGGCGGCGTTCACCCCACCGCCGAGACCGTTCGTTTGAAATATCGTCACACACACACGCGCGTGCACGGCAGAAACGTTGTACACGGTATTTCTCTCTTTCTCCGTCGCCCGCCACGGTCCTTCTCGCTCCTGCCTCTCCTGCCACCCCCACCTTTCCATAGTAACCGTCCGTACCGTTCCCCCCGTCGTCGTCGTCGTCGTCGCCCGTCAGTACGATATACGCTCTCGTGACGCGTGTGTGTATCTCGCACGCAACGGTCCGACGTCATCGTCGTCGTCGCGCGCAACACAATAATAATAATAATTCTAACAATAATAATCCACTCGTCGTGACGCCGACCCGGTTGTTTCTGATTTTTTTTTCCCCTCCCATTCGCAGCCCCGTCTTCTCGTCGTCGGGGAACCGCCGTCGCGCGTTCTCCGTCTCGTTGACTCTCGGTGCCCCGCGATGCTGTTCTGACACGCCGATCCCGTCCGGAGGAAAACGACACACGAGCAGCCGACAGCGTGAGCGACGCAGCAGCAGCAGCACCACCACCGCCGCCACTGCTGTCACCGCCACCGCCGCTGCAGCCATCGCCAGCATCACCAGCAGCAGTAGCGACACACCTCTTACGCTAGCGACGTCATGTCGGCCGGTCCGTACGGCACCATCATGGACGAGTTGGGCGGCTTCACGGAGGTGCCCATCTCGTACCGGCACATCTCACGGTTTCAGCCGTACCGAGTGCAACCGTACCAGGCGCACATACCACCGCCTGCCGCGCGCAAGGTCAAATCGTCGACGGCCGTGGAACGGCGCGCCGTGGCCGGTGGGTGCCAGTACGATGAGAACCGGCCCACGCACGTGCACCGGCTGTACCCCGAGATACTGGCGCTGATCTTCAGCTACCTAGACGTGCCGGATAAGGGCCGCGCGGCCCAGGTGTGCACCGCGTGGCGCGAGGCCGCCTGGTACAAGTCCGTGTGGCGCGGCGTCGAGGCCAAGATCGACATGTGCCGTTCGTCGCACCCCATGTACGAGAGCCTCAAGCAGCGCGGCATCAAGCGCATACAGGTGCTGTCTGTGTCCCGATACAAGTGCTTGCGTGAGATCGTGCAGAACGTGCCCAACCTGGTGTCGCTCAACATGAGCGGCTGTTACCACATCAAGGACGAAGACCTGCACCAGATGTTCCTCGAGCACCATCCCAACATTACCGAGCTTAACCTGTCGCTGTGCAAGCAGCTCACCGACGGCGGCCTCATCCGCATCGCTGATACGCTACGAGGGCTCACTCGGCTCGAGATCCAGGGCTGCTCGTGCATCACCAACAAGGGGTTCTCACACATCGCCCGCAAGCTCAAGAACCTCAAGTACCTCAACCTGCGCTCGTGCTGGCACCTATCCGACGTTGGGCTATCGCACATCAGCGGCGCCAGCAAGGACTCGACCGACGGCAACGCGCAGCTCGAGTTCCTGGGACTACAAGACTGCCAGCACATCACCGACGAGGGCCTCAAGTACGTGTCCGAGGGCCTGCGCTCGTTGCGCAGCCTTAACCTGAGCTTCTGCGTCAACATCACCGACACCGGTCTCAACTACGTGTCGCGCATGAACACCCTGGACGAACTGAACTTGAGTGCGTGCGACAACATCTCCGACATCGGCATCGGCTACCTATCTGAGGGCTGCACCAAGCTGGGCAGCCTTAACGTGTCGTTCTGCGACAAGATCGGAGACCAGGCGTTGTTGCACGTGTCCCACGGCCTGTACGGTTTGCACACCCTGTCGTTGGGCTCGTGCCAGATATCCGACGACGGCATGCTGTACATATCGAAATCGCTTAAGAACCTCGAGGTGCTCAACATCGGTCAATGCAACTCCGTTACCGGCAAGGGTCTGGAACATTTGTCCGACTCGTGCAAGCTACTGCGCTCCATAGACCTTTACGGGTGTACCAAGATCACCAAAGAAGCCAAAGAGAAGATACTGAAAATGCCAAACATTAGGAGGGACACTGTCAATGAAGACTTGTGGCAGCTTAGGTGACCGAAGGGATATTTTGTTTATTATTAACATTTCGATATGTGATATATATTTATAATTTAGGTAAGTTAGTAACATATTATGTTTGTTGAGAATATCCGGGTTCTGCCATCATTTCTAATTGATAACATCTAATTCATTATTATTATGATCAATATTATTATTATTATTATTATTATTATTATTATTATTATTATTATTAT